CCCCCCACCCCTCATACAATGTTGAAAACTACTACCTGTAATTTCTTCTGGTTTTCAACGTTGTATTGGGTGGGGAGGGGGAACAGTAACGCGTTTTTAAAAGGAACGCTGCGCTTTTTTCAAACTTCAGTACTAAAACACAGATAATTCATTAAATTACGTAAGTGTCCCAAGGACTTTTGTCCACGATTGTAGGTCTCATTCCAAAATTATGGAACACGCTAATGTAACCACGAGAGTTAAATTTATCCATTTGGTTGCCTTTAATTTTTTTTTTTTGTGTGTTTGTTTGTTATTTAGTTAATTTTTTGCGCAATTTTCAATCAGTGTAGATTCCCGTTTTTTCACATCGTGTTAGGTAATCGTCTATTGTTTATCACGTAACCTCGAGCTCGTGGTCTATTCTTTTGGTTCAAAATTACGTTGTATAGCGTTTTAGTTTTTTCAGTTTTTATTCAGCCGTGGTCACTTTCGGAGTGCCGTACAGATCTTGTAAGAAATCATGTTTTTTCATCTCTATATAAGTTCGTATTTATTAATCTTGTATTTTTTTCCTGTTCTAAGAGAATCGTTAAGATTAAAAGGACGAATTCAAACCATACAGGAGTGTTGTCTACAAAGTTCCCTAGTAAATTAAGGTCGACAACCTATATTTACATTTGCAAAGCGAACATACTTAGGATCAATGTGAATACCCGGAGCTGCAATCTGTGTAATAATTAATTAGGTTTTAATGTTTCTACCTTTTGTAATGTTAAGTATTTTATGAAAATTGTAAATAGACTAATTTTGATAGTATTACAAGGTTTTGTAATTCCTTTTTTTTATTTCGGTGTGATACCACAAATTAAGGATGAATCACATACTTATGATTCAGTTAAGTCCCTTCCAATGCCAAATATAGAGAGTCCCCTTCCCGACACCAAGATGTTATTTCGAAGGTTGGTCAGAGTGCAATTTGAATGCATTGTCTTGTACAAAGGTGATGAGAAATAGAAAAATTCATGAAAACGGGACCGTAGCAGCCCTAGTTCTCCGCTGTGTAACCCCAATCGAGTCTCTCTCATAGGCTCTCCGTTTTGGATCGATTAGGCCCCCTCGTCTCTTTTAAGCCTCTCCCTTCCCTCCACTCTTTTCGTTCACGACTGAAAAGTAACAGACAGACTCTATTACCAATTTTTATTTTGCTGCAATTGAGAAAATCGAGAGCGAGTAATCTCATTGTTTAATAGAAACACGATTTATAACCAATCAGCGCGCGTATTTTCTTAGGACTGTTTGAAATAAATTAGCCCCGCGCGGGGATGGGGGCGGGGGGGGGGGGGGGGGGGGAAGGGAAGGGCTTTATAGAGCACTAACGGTATGAAACCTCACTACGATGTATAAATCAAAATGTTATTTTCTCATTTTTCTCTTAGCTGGCGGTTGGAGTTCGATCCGACGGCATTTGTCATGAGGTGTAAACTTTGGACGAGACGACTGGCGTACACGTACGCAGTGTTTATTTTAACATTTGCTACTTCTTTGATGCTGATGGTCTACGTGCATACCTCAGCCAGACCTAGGCTACGAAGCGAGAGCAGAATTCCTGATGATTCCATTCCGTTGGTAGATTTTAAAGATTTAGGAAGTCGCAAGCCACGAGTGTTGCTATTGGTTACTGCTGGCAGTGCGCCGCAAAGGTATGACAGAAGACAGGCTATAAGAGATACGTGGTGGAAGCACTGTGACGACAGTCGGGTAAATACGAGCATAGGTTTGTAGGGTATTTTGAGGCTGGCCACAAAAAAATCACGATATTTCGGGCTGTCAGAGAAAAGAAAGGTTGTCAGTTGACCCAAAGGAGGTTCGAGAAAATAGCTCTGTGAAACTGATAATAAATGATATGCAAGTAACACGATAATTGACGTATGCCTTGTAATCCTAGTCTGCGAGCAGGCTCACGTTGGAGCACGAGCACAAGCGCGCGCGTCGTAGACGCGTGCGCGAAATCGAGCGGCGAATATTCGACTATCTGTCGGGACTGGAACTAATCAACAAATGCAATCAAATTATAGCTGTTCCCAACAGTTAACATCCCAAAGCCAAGGCGATGCAAAGTCGTTTTCATTTAAAATAAACAAGGACGATCCCCTCATTTCGATAAATGTTACCGTTAATGCGTTTAAATTAACTAAAGTCCAATGCTGAGAGCACAAAATAACGAAAACTACGGCGACTGAATGGAAAGAAGTTATAAAAAGATCCAGTGCAAAGACGAGCTCACATGGCCTGCTCACATGCTCACATGTTCGCCACATGTATTAAACGGTTCCAGTTTACTGGCCGTGACATGCCCTGCAAAAATCAAGCGGGGTGGCCATTTTGGTGTCCTTACAGGAAAGTAATTTTTTCCTGCATATAACTGTACACAGGGAAACCAATTCTAGAAAGCCACAGGTCAATTAGTCAAGAGGGGGAGCTGTTAGCAACATGGCGATAACAGGGGGAGGAGCTTAATAAAACCACTTTTTTCCAAAGATGTCCACAGTCTCTCGACTCTTCGTTTGTCTCGCTTCTTTCGCCTTCCCTTGCCCGCCTCCGCGTGATTCGCGCTGGCCTCGCTCGATTTTTCTTTCACGTGCGTTGAAGAATAGAGAGGCTGTGAACAGCCTAATATTGCAGAGACAGTGATCCACCTAACTTCTTTTTTATTTATCTCAAACAGGTCAAATGCGTGTTTGTTACAGATGGTATCATTCAGAATGCCACTCAACGTGTTCGCGTGATCCAAGAAAGAAACCAATACAAGGATCTGGAGTTTCTGCCGGTGGCCGGGGGTTTGGTATTCGGGCAACGTTTTCTACATCAGATCGAATGGGCAAAGGCTAAATTTGATTTCCAGTATCTTCTTAAGATCGTTGATGATTATTTCTTGTGTTTAAAGAGACTTTTATCGGAGTTACCCACGCGACCGAAAAACGGACTAGTCTGGGCGAATTTCCACTGCCAGGCAGGAATCGCTTGGGCGGATGAAGCATTCGTTATTTTCTCAAGAGATATAATCCATAAATTCCTCGCACAAGATAAGAACAAGACGTTGTGCCATCCTTTTGGCGATCAAACTTATCACCTATGGCTTAATAACATGCACAAGACGTATTTCCATGACTCGAGGCTGCATCACAATCCACCAGCGTCCTTTTTGCTATTTTTTGAAAATAAGACAAACGTGTGCGACGCGTATATTGGAACACACGGTACATACGAGAGGAAAATGAGAGAATTTGACCTTACTGCCAACGATGGTGCAAAAGATCTAGCCTCGCTGACTCTACCTCCCTTTTCAAAGTTTTGCGCGACTACGAGATTTAACCATCGTGTGTTTGCTGCAGGGTACAACTTTGAACCTAAGCCTTGCGTAGAAAATCCCACTTGGTTTAATTCAACAGGGATGTATATTTACGGCCGTGAAAAACAGGGATGAGGAAGACGGAAGTAAAGGAAGGGGCAAGATTCTATGGGGGCTGTGGAAAGAGAATTGCGTAATTAAAGGGCCCTAGTCAGCCACACCTTTGTTTTTGTTCACATGCGAGAGTTTGACTATTATATCTTATTCGGAGCATGTCAGAACGAAGTAAATTATCTTCTCAAACTCATTAATAATACATCAAGTTAAAACAAAAAAATCACAACCGTGAAGGAGGTTTGGATACCCGGTCTTAATTAACATAGATTTTGACGTTTTTACTTATCTGTTTACTCCTTAGTTTTTGTTTCGATTGAGAAGATATATCAAACACTCGAGACAGTGTTACACCGGCTGTCCAAACACTTTGAATTTCGTCAAATATACTCCGCTGCGTACCGTATTTTCAACTCTCTTCACGGTGTTTGGATATCCCGATGAAACACTGTCTCTCGTGTTTGATATATTACGTGAAACTACTAAAGATAACTAAACATACTTTCAGGATCAGAAGTTACAGTAAAGCAACAAGATTTTGCTTTACCATGCAATATCAATAATTTCGATGGCATGGCATGGTTGACTAGGGTCCTTTAACATACACAGTACGTGACATTTTGCAATTGAAAAAAGGAGCTGTTTTTGATTAATGAAACCCACCACTGCAAATAATTAAGTGTAAGGTACTGGAAAGTTTCGTTACGTTTGTTTGCCATGTTTAAAATTTTCAAACTTTGCAAAAAGTTAAAAAACAAGAATCTTTCCTAAGCTTTCTTGTTTCTGACACTTTTGTACCGTTCTTTAGAATTATTTTTGCGCTTATTTCAGTATCGAACACGCATTTTTGTTACATTTAGTTGCAGGTATTTAAGTAAGTACTGCAAGTTTGCAAATAACTGTTGTACGTAAACATTACAGATGTTAAGCAGATCGAATGCGTGTACGATATGTTGTAATTAGTAGGTAACAGCTAGGACGTAGTTTTGCGTATCAACTTTAGAGTGGTCTTGAACTGAACAGTTCAAAGTGACTTAAGTGTCTGTAGGAGTCATGTGTTGGTTCCTGGCTGTCCCCGCACTCCGGGAAGTCCAATATAAAAAGGACGGGAGTGCTCGTCTTAAGGTGGCTGAACACAGTTATTGATGTCAGTGTTTCATTCACCTTTTCTCTAAAACCCTCGATCTCTCGGTCGTCAAAAATGGCCACAAGCTAGTTAACAACCCAAACTTTGGTTTTTTGATCGTGAAGCTGACGTATGTGTCGTTTCCATGGCAAGATGAATAAATTTAAACAGGCCTTTAAAATCGGTTTCGTTTATTTGCAGAAAATCTAGTCATTAGATTTTCTTTATAATTTGCATGCAACAAGTTTGTAACGATTCTCACAAGTTAACACCATTTTGCTAATAATT